TATTCTCCGTTCGTTCCAGATCTCCACTCGTTCGTCATGTCCAACGCCCCAAGCCCCAGTGGATCCGCGAGCAGCGGATCACCTGGATCTTCCTTCGATCCTCACGCCACACGCGACGAGCCCATCGCTACGCCACGCGCCTCCTTTGTCGTGAGGGCGGCTCACTGCGGCTCTGGCGTTCCGGACTCTGCCTCGCGGCTCGGATCCCCCATCCGTAGAGCACCTGGATCATCTAGATGATCTTCGTGATTACATCCGTGAGCAAGATCAAGCGATCGCCTTCATGCAGCAGACGATCAACGGTCTTCGCGCGGATCAAGATACGCTGCAGGCCACGCTCAACTCTCACGACTTCGCGATCCCTAATCCGCACGCGCCTGCCGCCCACGTTCGCCTCCTCGAGCAACAAGTCGCAGATCTGGAGTCCCAAGTGACTCAGTACTTGCAGGAACGTGAGGATCTGGATCTACAGGAGCAACGCAATACGGCGGATCGCGCCCGAGATCAAGCCACACATCAATTACAAGTCACTGAGGAAGTGCTGCGTCACACTTGCCAGGCTTTGGATCGGGCTGAAGCCGATCTGTTGATCGTGCGCCAAGTCGCGGCTGTGGTTGCACTGGATCCGTCTTCATCGGATCTCCAAGCCAAACTGGATCAGCAGACGGCAGATCGGCTAGCGCTCCAGAATCGGTTTGATCAAGTCTCGGCTGAGCACGACTCGTTGAACACTCGAGTTCAATCGATGGATCGCGCGGCAGATGCCCTTCGCACGCAGATCGAAGATCTAACGGTGGAGTTCAAACAAGCGAAATCGCGCTCCGAGGTCGCACGCGTCAATTTGGCCGGTGCAGTCAAGCGCGAGTAGGGATATCGTGAGGCAAGCGAAGATCTGAGTACGTTCGCTTTCCCTTGATCTAGATCCACTCACTTCGCTAATAAAAATATCCTTTCTTCTTCTTGCAGAACGCGATGTCGCTGTGGCTCGGACCGCTTATGCCGACGCTGAGAGGTTGATCACGGAGCAAAAGGCTCAGATCTTGAAGTCAAGTCCACAACTAGCCCATCTTGATCAGGAGCGCACAGATCTGCGGCGTGAACTGCGGAGAGTGCTGGAAATGTTATCCACGGTGGCCGCTGGGATGGGATCAAGTCCTCCAATGACCAAGCTCTGTTTCGACAGCCCCCCCCCCCGAGATCAAGAGCAGCCAGATCACGAAAAGCGGGACCAAGAAACTTCGGATCACGATAAAGCAAGTCAAGAGAGCTCAGATCAGGACGACCGAAGTATGGAAAGTGGAGGTCGCGACAAGTCAGCTGAGGATCAACCGAGTCAAGGGAGCTCGGATCGCAACATGTCGGATCAAGGCAACTCAGAGCTCGACCAGTCTGATCAAGATCGTCGTAAAGATCCCGACTACACCCCCACACCCAACGGGTCCGACGAGTCTTCTCCCAAGGACAAACCTCAGGATCTTCCACCCAGCAAGAGATCCCGTGATCTTTCTCCTTCTCGCGACGTGGAACGCCCTTCCAAGCGAAAAGCTCCGATGCCTGAAGATCATAAGAGGGAGCTGGATCGCGAGGAAGATCAGGACGACTATGACATGGGTCGGGGTTCGGACGTTGAAAAACCTTCGGATCCGGATCATCCTACGCTCGACAAGATGTTGGAGAAGGATCGCGCGGCTGCGAGTCCTGTTCCAACCCCTGAGCCGCGCTACTTGTCTTACGAGAAAGATGGATCCAAGAAATCCGGCACCCCAGCCAGCTCGGATCCTGCGGTCAAGCTTAAGCCCAAGTCCAAACCACGATCGACTGGTTATCCTAAGACTTCTAAAGACACGGGCCTCGAGGAAGAAGATCAAGAGTCGGAGGCGGACACTTCGGCCGACGGCGATGATGATGAGTAGCTGAACGACATGCTACAGGCTCAGACGCTTATGGCTCTTTCTCGATCTAGATAGGAGCAGAGACGTCGTGATCATGCTGCTAATCGGCGTACCGGAACTGGGGGCGCTGGGGATCCTGGATCCGACGGTGATTCCGACGGTGACGACTCAAGCAACGGCAGTGGTGGGGGGGCGGCTGATCTCCTGCAGATCCGGCCGGAATGTCCCTTGTTTCTACCATGCTTCCCCGACGCCAGTTCGCCCACGACAACGCATGCATCCCTGGCCGCCAGCAGACTCGGCAATACAACATTGCGGACGTGAATCCATGGGTAATCCAGCGGATCAACACTTTGACGATCATGACGATGACTTTGGAAGTGTTGTCTCGTGCACTGCCATTTCGCCCTGAGTGGATCTTCCCCAGTCATCTTCCTAGATCCGCCGTCCCCACAACAGGTCAGTACTGCAGTCATTTGATCACGGGTCAAAATGTCCGCGATCTCATGGCAGCCCTTCCCTGGAACGTTCTCACTGGCGCCAACATCCCCGAGCCCACGTCGTTCGAGATCACAGTCGGTGGGTTCCTGATCGAGAGATATTCAGCTGTGGAGTTCCAAGATCTGATAGCTTACTGGGAGTCCACGCATCGTTTCCCTGTTCCAACATCTTTGATCCGTAGCGATCCATACTTGGCCACTTTCGTCGTGGAACGGAAGAGCCGTCGATCTCATGCGGGAGCCCGGTGGAAGCAGATCTTAAATCTCTTCTTGATCGTGATGCGCGAAGGCTGGTGTGATCTGGATCTGTTGCTGGATCCATATTTTGTCCACTTCCCCAAGCGTACAGATGAGGTGGCTTGGTATCCGGGGATCGAGACTCGCAGTGCCAACATTGCAGACCCGCAGCTGAATCGTCGTGAGCCCGCTGACCTGATCGAGGCTCTCGCTGAGTGCGACGCCGCAGATCCATGGCGTACCCACTACCGACCCCACCATGCGGGCCATCCCGCACGCCGGATCGCACGTCTCGCTGGCAAATTCTTCAACATGACGGCCCTGAACCACAACGCGCCACCTCTTGCCTCAGCCATGATCCTGACACTTCTCCCGACGTTCTCTTCAGATCGTCTACGTTTGAGCGTAATACATGTCATTTCTTTTTCGGATCTGTGTTCACGGGTACTCTTCCTGTTTGTCATTCACCCTTTGATCCATAATCTCCCAAATAATACCATTCTAGATCCACAATCGAAATTCGACCTTGCTCGTTCCATGTCCATTTCAGAATCAATCTTGCTCCATTTCGATCCCCTGTTAACATATCATCAAATACAAAATCACATAACCTCTGTCCTCCGATCTGCAACCTCCTCGCAGATACATCGACTTTCAGCCACACTAATGACCAACTCACCAGTGTGGATCCCCCGCTCACGGCTCCTCATTGCATCACACCGAAACGGTTGAGATTAGCACGATCTCGCAAGAATTCATACAGAAGAGCACCGCAGTTGAGATCTCCTTCGTCTATCCAAGTCGGATCTTCATATCCACGCCAATGTACCAGGAATTCTCGGTCGATCAGGCCATATCTCGTTCTCTTGCCAGTTCTCATATCGGAAATTCGTTCTACTTCATACTCATCCGGATCCCGATCTTGGTTCCAGCTATCTTCTGGTAGGAGAGCTTCATCGAAGTCCACCCGATCTTGTTCTGATCCGTTCTGCCGAATTACTGGTCGATCTGGAAATATCTTGATCAGTTTGATCTTCGATACATGCACCTCCGGGACAATGCTGTATGCGGATCCTGCTATCTCCAACCTTACAGCGTACTCGCCGATCTTCTCGGCAACGCGGAATGGGCCGTGCTGCCAGCTTTTTTGCATAACCTTCACGCACTCGATCTAGGTATAACCAGACCCTTGATCCAGACTCTACAGGATGTGGTCGTGCTAGATCATTATGCGTATCGGCCCGATCCGCGATCGTTTCTCGTAGGCGTTGGTTCACCTGTTCCCTGGCCTGCTGATAATACTTCTGCATCCGATACCGCCACCTTCTTGGATCTCGATCGTGCTTGCGAGTGCTTCGCACCGGGATCATGGCTTCCAGAGTGGATCTAGGATCCCAGCCATGTATCATATAGAAAGGTGTTTCGCCTCGAATCTGATCCCTTGCGGTGTTGATCGCGAAGGTGAGTCGTTCAGCGTACTCATCCCAATCTCGTTGATCCAGAGCTTCCACGTACATCTTAAGAGCCCTGGTATTTGTCTGGACCATACGTTCCGCAGATCCATTGGCTTGGGGTCTATATGCCATAGTAGCCCGCTGACGTTGTCCCAGGATCCTGTTGAACGACTTAAAGAAATCAGACATAAAGCCTGGCTCCCGATCATGTCGGATCACCTCGCTCGCGCCAAATCGACGAAAGACGCATTCTTCGTAAGTCTCGGCGATTGTTTGAGCGGATCTGGAGGCACTAGCTTTGGTGATCACATATTCTGAGAATAGATCCACGAAAATCAGCAATTCGGTATTGCCGTTGAAGGATCTAGGCAGCGAGGGTATATGATCCATGGCAATGATCTGAAATGGGTACGTTGCCCGAAGGTTACCAGGCGACTCGCCCTGGATCCGAGGGCTTCCTTTGCCTGTTTCACAGTCGACATATTCTCCCACATATCGCTGTACACTCTTAAACAGACCTCTCCAGTGGAAGTGATCACGGATCCGATCATAGGTGCGACCGAACCCTTGATGACCCCCTGTAGACTCGTGTGATAGTGATATGCAAAATGTCCTGTTGAAGTGACTCAGGTATCACCAGTCGCATCAACTTATCTCGATCTGCGGCCGCTTCCTTAGATGTCGGGCAATAGAAGAGTAGATCCCGCTGATCCACTTCGTAATTCATGGCAATGAATCCGAACATTCTAGCCTCTTCTTGTGTCAGATCCCTGATCTCCCCAATTAGATACTTCTTCAAACCCATGTCCACGACTTGTCGGATCCGCTCGATCCGTAGCTCTCTCACGCCTTCCTCTCGTAAAGCGTCTGGATCAGATCCCACACGTACTCCCGATCTAGCCTTAGATCGGGTCGTCACCGCTGATACCCGTACGATTTCTTCCTCGACTTTCACTATCAGGACCTCATCCAACCTGTTTAAAGTTAGGAGTTCCTGAATCTCTGCATCAGACTCTATCTCGATCCCACATTGCCGCTGTAGCGCATCACTTGCTAGGCTGTCAGCCGTGCTCAAGGAAGCCAAGTCGACGTGTAACAGCTCATGATCTGGCCAAGTACGTAGTCGATCCAAGGCTCGCTGACGTAACAGTGTCAGACCCGGTGCCTTACAATCGATTTCACTTTGTACTTGTCGGATCACCAGGTTTGAATCTCCGCAGATCACCAGACGCTGCGGATCCAGACCCTCCAACAGATCCAGACATAGTAACAACCCATGGTATTGTGCCTCATTCACCGTCAGGCCTTCGGAATACCCTGATCTAGCTTTCACCACTCTCCCTTCGGGCAGCATTCGGGAAGTTTCCACACGATCGCGCTGTAGGCGCCTCCACCTCTCTTGACACGGGCTGATCCATCGAAACTGACGACATACAGCTCCTCATCTCGTCTGATAGTGGGGATCGGAGCTTGGATCTTACCTCTTGGCTCCTTTTTGGGGGCGATTGAGATCAACGTCTTATCCACTTCGGATCTAGGGGTAATACTGGCTGCTAGTGCTCCCAAGACCTCATCCTCTCCTTTGACACACTTGGTGATCTCAAGTGTCCAAGACGACAACAGAGCGGCCCATTGTCCTAAACGTCCTTGTAAGGCCGTAGATCTGAAGAGCCACGCTTACGTTGAATGTCGGGTTAACACACGGATCGGACGCCCGACCAACGCATTGTAATTAAGATCAAGGATCCTCAGAAGGGCTAGTACTTCCTTCTCCGCGATCCCATAGTTTAGCTCATTCGACTTCAGAGTACGGCTCGCAAACGTCAGAGGGTAGTAGATCTGGTTGTATTCTTGCATCAATGCTCCCAAGATAGCCCAATCACTAGCGTACACCACCACTGTGGTCTTCCGATCTGGGTCAAAGTGTCGTAAGATCGGAGTAGTAGCCATCCTTGTTTTAAGCACGTTAAAGGACCGATGGGCATGGATCCAACGCGGATCTACCTCCATACGCCTCCAGATCCAAGGGCTTTCGGTGGTCGACGTCCCGATCTTCCTGTGATCTTTGATCTGCGCCTTCT